TAGGAAGGGTGGACTGGAGTAGTTGAGTTCAACGAACCAGGATAAAAATACTTGTGTATTAATTCTAAGTTTTAATCTTTCATACTTATTCAACCCCCCCCCCCTTCTAAGTATTATCTCACCTTCAACTATCCCCACACAGAACCAGAATCACAACTCAACTCTATATGCATGCAGTACCGACTCAACATTTGGTTCTTCATATGAATCGGGTTCCAATCAACTACGATCCCTGAACACACACTATGAGCTCCAAGCCTCCACTCTGAGCTTGGGACAAGTCACTATTCCCCATTATGAACTAGCGGGCATACCTCATTCACAATCACAATAATATATGATGCATGACATTTAATCATGCAAAAATAACAACATAACAAATATTACAACCCTAGTCTAACCATAATCAATCATGCACTCAACGCATTACGAGTGGTTCTCACTCCGAACCACTCGTCTCAAGATTCATCGACAAACATGTATAATAATCCAAACAATTATATATAAAATTCACAACATATATTCACACATTGAAGACACATTCATACATCAATTATCTCATAAGACACTACCATGAGATAGCTTTGCAGGTTAGCTGTAACACCCTTATTCTACCCCACAGATATTAAGGCAAAATAACACGGATTTCAGAGTAAAATATTAACTTTCATTAAAAAGCCACAAAAGGGCGTACATTTCTCAAAGTCAACAAAATTGGTCAATACTCTGTAACACACGGGTTTTCTCAAAATACATCAAAACATCATATACAGCGGAACTCAAAACATAACTCAATGTTTTCCTCATAAGGGAACATCAGTAAAATAACCCAATGATATACAATCAACTCAAAGAACCTAACTCGATGTTACATATCAGAGCAAGACCCTCTAAATTAACCATAAAGGCTAACGACTCTAAAACTTCAAAATACTCCTCAACGGCGTCCACGACTAAACTTGCTCATCTGCACGTTACCCACGTGGAGGTAACATTCAAACAGGCAGGGTGAGTAAGACAATTCATAATAATCAATGTATAACAATTAGTGCATAAACGACATATTACTCATAGTTATATTCAACACATTAATATCCTTCAAAATATGCCTCAAAGGCCACAACATCATAATTTATACACAAAGACTCATAAATGCAAATGCAACATAAACTCAATGCATGTGGTACCAATCATCACAGCGCGATGGACACTGGGCCATCAACCCTCCATAGATCCCCATCAATAGGATCGGAGCACATCAAAATACTTCACATCCACACAGTGGGATTGAAGCCAAAGCAATCGAGGTCCTGAACCGAAGTTCAGATGCACATGAATGCATGATGCACACTTCACAATAATCCTTATAATAATAGCATATGGTGCATCATCATTCATCATATTTATCATCATTACACGTCATATCTCATCGTCATATCCATCATCATAAATCATGTCATCATAGCTCATCGTAACAATCATCATCATACGTCGTGTTATCATATTTCATCACAGTAATCATCATTATACAACATATCATCATATTTCATCACATTAATCATCATACATCATATCATCATAATTCATCATATTATTCATCATACAACATATCATCATAGTCCATCATATTAATTTATCAAATTATACTCACGGTAATCCTCACACTATCGCCTATCAATCACATAAACTTCACAGTTCTACTCATGTTAATTCGTCATATCATCACATAGTATTTACATATTAATCCCTAATATCATCTCACATTGTCTCATGTTAATTCATCATAATTACACTCACGGTAATTCTCATACTATCACTTATTACTCACGCAATCTTACTGTCATACTCATATTAATTCATCATATTATCACAGTTACCCCCATGGTAATTCATCAGGGAAATCGCAGCATCAAAACATCAAGACATTACTGAACCAGAACATGATTCGTTACTAGAACATATACCCAATTGAATTCTCAAACATAATTAGATATAAAAATATTAGGAAAACAATTCCATTATCTATCTTATGTTATAGCTCTGTTTATTAGCTTTCCAACGCTTCGAACGGGGGTCAAAACGGACTTACGGATCCAAAGTTACGTCCAAAACAATTTCGACCGAAAACATGAACAGTCGTGACGGACAGAAAGATGCTGTTACGCTCCGAAACTGATTTTTACTCAATTATTCTTACGAATCACTCACTCAACGTATCCAAAACATCACTAAAACATTCCTAAGGTTATACGGCAATAACAACACAACTTCTATGGTTTATTAGGCTCATCTGACAACATTTGCAACACCTAAAACACTATTTCCTGCAATTACTCTGAGTACTTCAGAGTTACTCACATTTGAATATTCTTATTCCTACAGGGACAACATGTCACAATTTTTCCTTCAATTACACCCTACGGCATTAAAATTACTTACTATCCAATATTTAATCCCTTCAGGGTCAGACATATAACAATGTCAAGCTTTTGGCCACAAAGGCCTAAGGTTTCCCATAAGGTTTCCCACAATTACAAAGGCCTAAGGTTTTCCACAAATTTTATGTTAATATTCAACGATACATACCATTTGGCCATTTGACCATCCTCTCAGAATCTTACGATTACTTCCCTATTTCCCACAATTAATTCCAAATCCCTAAACCTTACATCAACCACAAATATACCGAAAATCATACATAGAAAACTATGAAAAGCAATACTCCTCATACCTTAGCCGATTCACAACCTTCACGATTACTCCAGGAATCTTCCGAAGCTTTTGCCTCCAATTCTCCCTCCTCAGAGCTCTGGCCTCCATTCTTTTCACGGTTAACAAATGAATCTCAATTCCCTTTAGAATTCTATTTTGTTAAATCTCACAATTTGGGCTTTTCCCATAATATCCTCACTAACTCCTCCAATCGCCCAAATTGCCCTTATTTCCCTTACTTCAATTTAATTAATAATAATACTAATAAATTAATATTATATGCTATTAATTAAATAAATACCCAAAAATTCACATTTTCTTAATAATTCACCAACCACCCGAAAATCACCGAAAACGAATATTCTTAATTAAATAATTAATTAAAATACTCCAATTAAATTTGGGGTGTTACATTAGCTCTCTAATGCTTCAAACGAAACTTCATTTGGACCTACAAAACTAAAGTTATGGCCAAAGTAGTCGGGGATTAAAGCATGTTTCAGTTTCTGAAAATTTCAAAAATAAGCCAGCATCAATCGATTGACATCAAATCTAATTACTCATCACCTTCCAAAATTTCGCTTATTGGCTACATGCAACTGATTAATTCCCACCATTAATCGATTAACATAGTTAATTTTTCACTTTTCACACGCATGCAATTGGTTGACATATGGTGTCAATCAATTGACATACTTCAAATTTCCAACAAAAAAAAACAAACATGCAATCGATTGACATCATACAAATTCCCAAAAATCTCAGTTTTCACAGTACCGTTCATCTCCCTCATCACCTACCTTCTTATACCTCAAACCAGTCCCCATTATAACATTCAAAAACACACATATGCACATTGTATCATGATCAAACATGTTAATTATTCATTGATTAACACAAATGTGTCAATTTCATCATGGATTACTCATTTTGGTTCATATCCTAAAACACCTTATTTCAATTAAATTCATCATTGAATCAATGAGTTCATGAACACCAAACATCATAGCAGCAAAACACAATTGCACACCAATTCATGACATATAACAATAGAATTTTATCATTATATAACAAATTATCATCAATCCATAAAGAAAAGACAGTCTCTATTAGACGTTAAGAAAAACCTCTCTACCCTTTTATGATTTAAGCACCCTTAGATTAATAATCTCCTTTACCTTATAATTCCAACAAAACCAGCAAAAGCAACCTTCTAAGGTCTTCTCTCCCAAAAGCCCTAGCTCTCCTCCTCTTCCATATTCTTCTCTTTTTCACGTACTGTCAAAAATGCTCTCTAACCCTTATTTTCTCTAATTTTTTGAATATATAATATTCTAATTAATACATCATAATTCAATTTTTGTCCAAACTAAAACTCAGTTTCTCTCTAATCACCACTTACTTATTCTCTTAAGTCACAAAATCTACTTAACTCTACATATTCTATCAATTTCTAATTATTTAATTAATTAAATATCACTAAAACTAATTAAATTAACACAAACCACCATAAATGCCGACACCGACCAGACACGCCATAAATCACATAAAATAATTATTTGAATAATTTAATCAATTAAATCAAATAAATAATTAAATAAAAGACTAATTAAATTGAGGTGTTACTCTAACAATCCACCCTATGCCACCCACCGCATTGGAGATAAGAACCACTCATTAAGAATTCCCCATCTTCTATACACACCAATGTGTCTTTTGTATGATAGTAAAATTAGGTAAAATATATATTTTTGTCTTATATCTTAACCTCGGGGTTCATTTTGGTCTTTTAATTTTAAAAAAATCTGTATTGGTTTTATAACTCTTCAAAACGTTCTATTTTAATCTTTTTGTCTTATTAACAACGAAAAATTCAAAAATCAGTCGTTAAATTCGTCGATAATTAAATAAAAATGACTAATTTAAAACGTTTTAAAAAATTAAAAAACTAATATAGATTTTTTAAAATTTAAAAGATCAAAATAAACTTTAAAGTTAAGATAGGAGACAAAAACAATATTAAGTCACGATAAAGTTAGTTTAAAATATAATGTGAAAATTAGAGTGATTTATTCCTTTCCCTCCTTAAACTCTATTTCCCCTCACACCCAAACACTGAAAAATCCTCAACTTTTCCTTTCCATAATTTATTTTCACCGTTTCTCTTTCGATTCAAACGAAACAAATCAAAACGCAGTTCAACGTTCCCCCTAGAAGAAACGAACAGAGACGAAAAGAATCGCCGGTGACACTGAACAATCGCAAGAACTTGTGTTACGAAAATTCGAATGCTCCTTTGTAGAACCAGAAATGCTGTTCTCAAACCCTCTGTTTCCTTTCTTCTTCATTTTTACTCTTCATATTCCAAGAAAAACAAAACTAACCCTAATTTCACAAACCCTAAAACCCTTTCCCCCAAATCACTTCAGCCCAATTCCTCCAAACCTTCAATTCCGCGTCTTTTACCTAATACAACGCTTTACTCGTTGCTCACTGACCTCGTTTCTTGCCCTACTGACACTGACACTGCCATTGACAGTGTTTTGGATTCTTACAAAGGAGAGTTAACCTCCAACCTCGTTCTTAGTGTCTTGAAGAGTTACAATCACTTGGGTAGAACCAAAACTTTGAAATTTTTCTCATGGGCTGGGGAAAAAATGGACTTTCAATTTGATGATGCTGTGATTGAGTACATGGTTGATTTCTTTGGTAGAAGGAAACTCTTTGATGATATTAAGTGTTTGTTAATGACAATTGTTGCTCGTAAGGGTCAAGTTTCGTATAAGGCGTTGTCGATTTGTATTAGGTTTTTGGGTAGAGAAGGGAGAATCAATGAAGTGTTGTCATTGTTTGATGAAATGGAAAGTGTGTTTGGGTGTAAACCTGATAATCTTGTGTGTAACAATGTGCTTTATGTGTTGTGTAAGAAGCAATCTTCCGTGGAGATGATTGATCTTGCACTTTCGATTTTTGATAAGATTGAATCTCCGGATAGTTTTTCTTGTAGTAACATGATTGTTGGTTTGTGTAGACTTGGTAGATTCGACGCAGCTCTTGAGATTTTCCGCAAAATGGATAAGGTTGGTGTGCATCCAACTCGTTCTGCGATGAATGTTCTCATTGGGGAGCTTTGTTTGTTGAGTTCAAAAGAAGGGTCTCTTGAGAAAGTGAAAGTGACGAATACCCGTAGACCGTATAATATTTTAGTTCCTAACATGGGCGGAAATCGTGCTGCAATTCAGCCTGCTGTTGAAGTGTTTTTCACAGTTGTTAAATCTGGCTTGTTGCCTAGTACTTTTGTTGTGTTTAAGCTTATGTCAGAGCTTTGTCGCTTGGGTAACACCGAAGAAGCCGTTAAAGTGTTGAAGATTGTTGAGGAGAGGAAGCTAACTTGTGTTCAAGAGGGATACTCAATTGTTATGAAGGCGTTGTGTGATCATCGCAGAGTGGAGGAAGCCGGTAGTTTGTTTGGGAGAATGTTGGAGACCGGCGTAAAGCCGAAGTTAGTTGTTTACAATTCTGTTATATCGATGTTGTGCAAATTAGGTGATTTAGACAACGCGCACGGTGTATTTGAAATCATGAACAAGAATAGATGTTTTCCCGATAGTTTAACTTACATTGCTTTGATCCATGCTCATTGCGAGTTTAAGAATTGGAAAATTGCTTATGAATTGTTAGTGGAAATGTTGGGTTTGGGATGGATTCCACATTTTCATACTTACAATTTGGTAGATAGTCTTTTGCGAGAACATGATCAGTTGAATCTGTGCCTTAAAATGGAAAGGAAATTGGAGAATCAGAAGTTGCTGAAGTTGTGTAAGGAAGGTCAACTAGATGATGCTTATGAGAAAGTAAAATCAATGCTTGAAAAAGGTGTTTATTTATCAGCTTATGCTAGAGACACATTTAAGCTTGAGTTTCAAAAGAGTGGTAAGTTAGAAATAGCACATGAGTTACTGGAAAATGCTCAGAGAGTTTAGGAGAATCAGGAGATGATTAACAGAAGTTAATTAGTTATAGAATACAAATTTCTTTGTTGTTGCAACAATTTTGGTTTTTTTAGTTGATATTTTTGTGTCGTGATAATGTAACATAATTGTTCTCCTGGTAAAAAAGCATGAAACTGAACCAGAGGATCAAGCAACCATTCTGCTTTCGAGCAAGGCAGCTGCCCCTTGAACCTTGCACCGAAGCAATCCCTAGCTAAATTCTTTGCTAGACACACAATTGCAGGGGCTCCTTTCATCCCTCTGTTTAATAATAACGTATCGTTTCGAATCATCCATAACGCTCTGACAACGGCTAGCCACAAGATTACCCTGAATCTTATTTCCTCTAATCTTATTTCCTCCTTACCACGCAAAGCCAAGTCGAATGCTAAGAGGTTGTCTATGATGGAATCCAAAGGTCCATGCCTTGAACCCGATAAAAAACTACGAGGTTGTCTATGATGGAATCCAAAGGTCCATGCCTTGAACCCGATAAAAAACTACGAGATTGTCAGCTCATCCCTCGTTTGAAGCCTACCTTGTAACAGCCGTCACACAAAGACCTGAATATTGCTTGGCACATTTGTTTTCCAAACAAACTTCAGAGCTAACTTCAATTAGATGCTTGGATGAAAGTCATGATTTAGGAGGGAGAACAACCTGCAATAAGCCGGTTTCACAGAAAATATGCCACGATACAAACTTATCCGACAGACTAGGATCCGGAGAATAGAACTGAATGATATTGAGAAGAATGGACCGATAAGTACTAATATGTTCGGGAAGCTCTGGACACTTAAAACCAACATTTCAAATAGAGATGTTCTAAATTTTGGTTAGGCAAATCAAATATCTAATATGAATTAAATTGAACTATAAAAAACTTAAACAATTTCAATAGTTATTGAATTGAATTGTTTATTTTAATCAATTCAGTTAATTTAATTGAATTTTAAAACCAATTTAAATTGTTATAAACTCTTTCTACCATTTTATCAAAAACTTAAATACTTCTATTTAACAATTTCAATAAATTTAATAAATCATTATATTAAAAGGATAAATATTTTAATTACAATATTTTAATATTTCTCAATTACTTTAGTTAATGCTAATTATAACTTTTTTCGATTAAGAAAAGTGTTTCCCCAAATGATGTGAAGTGAACCCTGCAATTTCAAATCGATCTCAAAAAAATCATTCTCTCAAACTTACATTCATCTTCAATTTCAATTTTACTTTGTATTCATTTTTATTCGATTTCGATTTCATGTTTTAATTTCACATTGCTTTCGTTTTCACTCTATTCCGTTTTCAAAGATTTCACTCGGTTTCAACTTCCTCGTTTTTACTATCTTGATTTCAGTTTCACCTTGCTTTAGACTACAACGGTAGCTTTAACTTCTCTCATCACAAGGAGTAACAACATTAACATCTTCTATACTTCGATCTTGTTTGTGCAATTTCATTAAAGATAAGTTAGTTTTTATAGATCATTGATGTTTTTATTTAAATTCAAAATCATCAATAAAGACATTAAAACAAATCCAATTTTTAATCACTTAATTTATTTTTAAAGCAAATTAATGTTTTAAAAGAATTGTTTTTTAAACCAACTTTTATCTTTCAAAAAACTGCTATTTATACTATTTAAAAAAAAAGATTTGAATCCAATTTTATTAAAAATGACAAAAAAAATTGGTTTTTAAACATATAAGAAAATCAGTTTGCAATTCGATTCATAAATAATTCAGTTCTTTAAAAAATGATTTTAAACTAGTTAAAACAAATTAAATTGGTTTTAAACTATGAACCGGTTCTAAACCGAATTGTAACTGATTTAACAGATTAACTACTTTTTGTTAAAATAGTATGCAAGAACTGCACTGAACCATTAATATGGTTCGGTTCAATTCAGTTCTTGAACCATGAATACCTCTAATTCCAACGCTATCGACCACCAATTCAAGAACCTGATTCAGTGATAGATCGCCTAGGTTCCTGCGCAAAAGAGAACAAAGCAGGTAATTGTATGTGTATTGGGACAGATCCAATCCAATTACTCCTCCAAAAATCGATTTAAGCCCCTGTCCCAACTTTACAAGAGACACTATTGGAAAACCATTTATCTACCGAACCACACCATCCTAAAGATGTCTTAATATCTCTCCACCACAACGAGTGCTTCAGATTACTACTGCGCAAAGATGGATCCAAAATTTCTACTTTAATATTCCTGTATTTAAAAGAGACAACCTTGATCTAAATGGTGTCATTGTCCAACAAAATGTTCCAGACCCATTTACTCAAAATGCACGATTAAAGGATTCGTAGTTCTTGATACCAAGGCCACCATCACATTTGAGAATACAGATCATTGACCACGCCACCCAATTATCCTCTGATTTTCTTCACCATTCCATAAGAAATACTGTTGAATTTTGATAATTTCTTGGATAACAAACTTTGGCGCTTTGTAGAAAGAGAATGTGTACAAGGGAATAAATTTTTAGCAAAAATTTGATAAGGGTCACACAACCTCCAAGGGAAATTGATTTTTCTTTCCAAGAAGCAAGTCTCCTCCGAATCTTTGATAGATCCAGATTCCACATGAGCTTTCTCCTCGGATTTTCCTCGATGGGAATGACAAGAAAGGTGAAAGGGGGATGAGAAATAGCACATGATAAGAAATCAGAGGCCGTCTTCAAGAAGTCTACATCAATATTAATGTCAATGACTCTACTCTTGTGAAATTTATTAATAAAATCGCAACAAAGATTTAATGGACCATAAGCACTCCCAACTTGGCTGCCTAACAATCATAGTGCCATTTGGGATCTGGAAAAAATCAACTTGAAGCTGGTAAAAAAAATGAAATGAGGGATTCTCGAACACATTCTTCATTAAACTGGAAACTCACACTGAACACCCCACACATAAGCTTGACCCTTCTGGTTCAATTAAGTCAAAGGCAAAACCAACTTAACCTCCTATAATAACCATCCAAACCCAGATAGCTCCTGATCTAAGTCACTGACTTAGGTGTCTCCCACTGCAACACTGTGTCTACTTTAGACGGATCCACTGTTATTCCACCACTAGCGATTATATGTCCAAGGAAACTTATATCTATTAACCAAAGGAGACATCTCTTAAATATGGATAATTTTTGGTAATGGCAGTGGAGGAGATGGTTTGCTAATTTGAGCACCCTCGAAACATTTTTTTTTTGGGATTTTAGAGTCGGGGAATCCGAAAATTTTGAGTCAACATGTTAAAAGTATGAAGAAAACCGTCTTATGGAGTTGTGACTTTGTATCGGTTTGACCTTTTTAGGTGCACCCTTTATTTTAACCAGTTTCGACGAGGATTTCAAATCCGTTGTTTCTGGATAAACAATCTTCCCTAGTTACTCTTTGATGTGAAATTTTATGATGCCATAAGCTTTCACGAATCTCTCTTGGATCACTTCCCACTCAGTCATGATAGATATGTTTGATTTATCATCCTTCATTACACCATCTTAAGCAAAACAAAGTCTTTTCAGGCGAGTGCAAACTTCATCCATAATATTGGTTTTTCAAGCTTCATCTTGTTTGAAATTAAACAAGCACATGGAAGACTGTACATCTTCCTAAGTGTACGTCCACACTTTGAGGTATATGAACCTGTTTTACCTGCTCGCTTGGCTTCGTGAAAAATAAAATCCAATACCTCCTGAGATACGTTGCCAACCAACTATGAATAAAGGATATCTTTGAATCGGTGTTCTAACACAGGAATGCTTCAACAATTGTCGCATCTCGGTTTTTGGTCCTCTTACCGCCATGTTGTTTCAAGCACACACATTATATATTTACTTTATATTTGAAATATTTAGAGGTCTTTTTTCGTTTCAAAGATGCAAGTATATTTTTCGGTGCCACCATGATTAATGTCATGTCTGAAACAATTTCTTTCTCCTCTAGAATAAGGCGACATACAATTGGATGACAGACTACCTTGTCATTCAAGGCATAATTATGTATACCGGAAATCACATTAAATTTCCATATGTCATCTACCTTACAGTATTTGCGCAATTTAAACGATTACTCACATTTTCTCGATCTAGTGTCATCTCGTTTTAGTTTTCTAATTTGTGGTTGGTACATGCCTCTTCTTTGCATCTTATTGGTACAAATGCTAGGTTTATATCTGAACCATTGTCAAACCTTCAATTACAACGCGAAACCATAATTTATCGGCCTTCACGCGGACCCATTGTAACATATGTTCACGAACAATAAACTCTTGTTTATTTGTAAATTATGCACAACCTCGACAACAACCGGTCGAGCACCCGATTAAAGATCAATCGATTTAACATCATCATTCACTTCATCTAGTTTAACATCATACTTCACTTTGATCGATTTAATATATGTACTCAAAATAGTTTTAGAAAACATATTCGGATGCATCATATCTAATACCATAAATAACAAAAAAAAAAGAAGCTTTAAAACTCAAATTACCAAGACAATCCAGAGATGCATATCCTAACCACACTAAACTTTGTCTGAAAACGCATATACTAAAATCAACTTGCATTCCCCCCAGTTTATTTTGGTTTGTAAAAAAAAATTAGCATTATGTAACCCCAACAGAACTACCCCGTGCCCACTGTCCACCACCAATTTATTTCATTTTTATACTAATTCAATGTAAATAAAAATTTGTTTTAATTTCGAAAAAAATATTTAACTCCTTGATGGAATGCACACGACAAAATCGGAATGCACCTCCCTTCATTTTCAACTCTCAAGACAACAAGCTCTACAAAATCCCTCTGAAATATCGTTTTCTTGCTTCTCAAATCCGTTCCCAACTCATGTTTTTAGTGCAAAATCGGTAACTTTCTCACCAAATGAAATGTGTTTCTATCTTCTCATTTGGTATGCGTATGTTTTGCATTTTTTTCAAATCGTTCTCTGTGTATTTTTATTCAAAGGATCTATATATGTTCGCATGTTGAATCAGGGTATGAGTCGATTCTGGAAGTTGAGATTTTTATACTTCATCTCGTGTTCATGAGTTTTTCGGTTTTGAATGAAATTACGTAGCTGACATTAATTTAGTTTCCCTAGGGCAGATTCATCAGTCCAAAGTAAGCTAGTACCTATCAAATTTCCACTTTTTTCTTACTCTGATTCTAAAAATGAGTGTCTATTGAATTGATATTTTGTTTATAGTTATAGCAATAATCATGTTCCTTAGTGTTTGTCTTGCTTGTACCTCCATATTTTTAGTCAACTATAAATGGTTCACAATTTGACTCCTGTAAATATATATACAACGACGTTATGTTCACAAGCTTGATCTAGGTGCAAAAGTTTCATGACAATCGAAAATAGGGCTTTCAAATAGCTCTATTGAAAGGAAATTACATGCCAAAATGGATGTTGATAAAAGAAAAACAGCCAATATTTTCAAAGAGTCTACTCCTTTTACAAGTGATACTAAGACGACGAAGAAAGCAGAACTAATGCTTTTGCCAAGAGAAAGACAACAGTTCTTTTGACCTCACTTGTAACGGGGAATAAGAAAAAGGAAGCAACATTAATATTAAATCTTTTTAATGTATAACACTTATTTATAAAATTATAGTTTTGTAAGTTTTTTTTTTGTTATATACTTACTCCTAAAACTAGAGATGTAAATAGATATCCATGGAGACAGATACTATGATATCCGTATCCACCCCGTTGGATAAATATGATATTTGTATCCGTCCCATATTCATGTAGATATTCGTTAATCGGGTAATTCGCGGGTTTTGCGGTATCCATGAATAATATTTTTTTTTAAAAATTATTTTTTGAAAAAAATATTTTTAACTTCTTTTAAAGACACAAAAAGTTATTATCACATAACATCCATACAATTAGCTCTTAATTTAACAATAAAATTTCATCACATTAATTTTCTTCTTATTCACCAATATATAATTAGATCCAACATAATAGTCATACACCTCATTTTTAACCAAAAAAAAAAAATTATAATTGTGAGTTATGATGGAAGAGAGAACGACAAATGAGTAGGCAGGGAGACACTGGTTCGACAAAAGAACGATAATACTAGTTGGTTGTATTGTGCAATTATTGAAGAATTTAAATATGAAATGACTAATATAATTTGATAGAAATGTGAAAGGTTTTCTTCAAAGAAAAAAAGAATGAAATATAATAAAACTATTTATTTTAGAAGATGAAAAAATAAGGTATAATAAATTAATAATATTTAAATAATTTTTGTAATTTATTAATGGATATGAATATCTGAGGACACAAATATTATTAAAGTTATATCCATATCTATTAACAAATAGATATTTAAATATTTATTTATTTTATTCGTGAATATCCGTTAAACTATTTGTTTCATATCCGTGACGGATTTTATCAGTGAATACAAATATTTTTGTCTTCCCTACCTAAAACTTGAATATACAAAATACAGTAGAAGAACTATAGTTCACATAAATAACTTAAAATTGCTGTATTAAAAAAGTATATACTTTCTTTCTCCTAAGAGCTATGCTATGATCACACACATTTACTACACCGAATCTCTTCTACACCATATGTATATATTTGCTTTAGTCCGACACATATTTCAAAACAAGATAAAAAATTATTAAAAAAATGATATACTTTGTTTAGGGTAAAAATGATAAGTATTAAAAAATACATGAGTTATTTTGATGATTGAGTTTATTGAGAAAAAAAAATTATAAAAGAGTCTGTATTTTTTTACTGAGTTATTTATTCTTTAAATTGTGCAATAAAGGTCAACTAATTTTTTTTTGAAACTTAATAGTGAAGACAAACAAACGATGAGCGGGAGGTCGAGAAACTTGAACTCCGTTTTTTACTCCGATGTCTACCATCCCATTCAAGCCGGAAGTATCGACGGCACCGACATTCTCCCTCACGACAACGCCATTCTTCGTGCTCAACTATGTTCCTCTATTGGCCTCTGTTCGTATTCAAATCTCCATTTTCCCACTTTTCACTTTTTTTTCTCTCTCTCAATATTCATCATCACTTGTTTATTTTCAAAAATTCAATTTTGCAGATGATCCATTTGGTGATCCTAAGGCCACTGGTGACCCTTATTGTACCCTCTTCGTGGGTCGTCTATCAAGACTCACCACTGAAGACACTCTCCGCAAGGTAACATTTTTAGGGTTAGGTATATTCATCTCACATGTTAGAATTTCTACTAGTAAAATTGTCTTGTATAAACAACACAATTATGGAGAATATTGTTTCTGAGTTATAATTTTAAATTAACTTTGTTACTAAGAAATAAGAACTTAGATCACATGGTTCTAACTTAACTCTGACGCCTCTGAAAAAAGGTGTGTCCGTGTTTGTGTCCGATACTGACACTTGTGATTACTGTGATTATGTTTAATTTATTAATTTTTTCAAATTATAACGAATGTTAACATGTCAGTATATGTGCTTCATAGGTTCTAACTTATGTGTTGTAAAGGGGTATCTCAAACTCAGTTATACTTATTGATTTATTGAAGCTTAGGACACTGCCACTTCTTTTGTTTTGGTTGTTTTTAAGTTCTCTCCCATATCTTGATTTTTGTGTTATGGAATGTTTGGGTTTATCTTTCAGGTTATGAGTCAGTATGGCCGGATTAAGAACTTGCGCCTGGTGAGGGACATTGGTAATTTTCTTTAGTCTATCTTAGTTCTTGAACCATCTTTGATTTCAATTTTTTGCATGTTGTTTTGCCTTGCTCTTTTACATCTTCAAATTGGGTGTTTTTCGATAAAAAAATCTATTAGATTTTATGTTTCCCGTTGAACTTGCGTGTCAGCAAGACCGAGGACTTGCTGATTGAGGACTTGTATGATGCTCTTCACTGAATTGTGTTTTTGAAAAATAGCATTTCAAAGGATATGTTATCGTCATCAGTTGTATTTAAGCCACTGCTGTTAAATAACCGGTTTAGCACTGGTATATCGCTATTACATATTGGGATTTGAAGCAACCGCGACAAAATCCGATAAGCTACTGCGATTCTGCTACCACTACACTAGTGGTAGCTTTTTGTATATCAGTGATAACGATTATGGCTTTCTGCAGCAATGTATGCAACTATAAGTCATGCTTTAGTAGTTGTTTAAACTATTGAGATTTTGAGTTTTATGCCAGTAACTTTTTTATTCTGTTTATGTAGCTTTTATTTGCATGCAACATTCTTTAGTTTACATATAATTATTTATTTCAACTGCTTTGCGGCTTCTACAATTTGTCCATTTGTTTATCTGCTATTTATTGTATCGGATTTTTGGCAATCCATTATTTACTGTGGTCCGCTATTAATAACACTGATTTAAGCTTTTTTGAAAACTATGGAACATATAATCCTCCTAGCAACTGAGATACCACTCTTTTTATTTATTGTGTCTCTTGTATAATTTGTTTTCCCGCATGACAAATAAGATGTTGTATAACTTTTTTGAAGTATGAATTTTTTTATTTGTAGTGACTGGAGCTTCTCGTGGATATGCTTTTGTCGAATTCGAAGCTGAAAGGGAGATGCGTCAAGCATATATGGTACTGCAATATTTCAACTTTGTTTAATTTTCATCTTAAATTAAAGAACCAAGATTTAAAGCTTTATGACATGTACACTCATAAATATACACAAAGACACGAATCAGTTATATTGTTCAAATAGGAAACTGAAATCATCTTGGCTTTATTTGGCTAACTAATGATGTTGCTATTGTTTATTCGACTTTCTGGTTTGTAGGATGCTCATCATTTGATTATTGATGACTGTGAAATCACAGTTGATTATAATAGACAACAACTGATGCCCGGATGGATTCCTAGAAGGTTAGGTCAGTTGAAGTTACTCATTCTTGATGTTGCAATTATTTTCATTGAGCCCAAGTCATATTACTTTTTTGTTATCTCCTGCAGGTGGTGGTCTTAGTGGTAATAAGGAGTCGGGACAACTTCGTTTTGGGGGAAGAGAAAAACCATTTCGAGCACCCTTGTATACATTTGTTCTCTCTTATTTGCAACTATATATATTCCCGTATTTCTTATTTATTTGATAGCCTAGTTTTTAAAGACAGCCTCTGCAGGCCAATACACGACATATCTACATTTGACTTGTGAGTTATGGACTACCGGTTTTATTGATTATGTATTTTCTCTACTATTTAACCAGGAAACCAATTCCATACGAGGAATTGAAGAAGCTCGGTATCCCACCTCCACCTGAGGGAAGATACATGTCACGTTTTGAGGTGATGTTATTTTACCTTTTACCTTTTGGCATTAAGCAAGTGTTCTATTACCTTGCTGATAAGAATGCACGTTTCTTATTGAATATTATAAGGCATTATTAAACAACATACAAATTTTATAATGACAAGTGTTCCATACATATGAATAGGTTCCATCCCCTCCTAGAAGAGAAAGGAACCTCTCAAACAAGGAAGAAGACTCTGATAAAAGGGGTTCAAGTGACAGAAACAGGACAAAAGGAAGTCCAGTTGAGATGGAGGAAAAACAGTACAAAAGAAGTTCAAGTCATCGAGGAGATTACTCGCGTGGAAGGAGTTCTTTGGAGAGGAGTGATGATTACTATGACAGGAGGTCTTCGGAGAGGCGTGATCGTTACCATGATAGGAGCTCTTCGGAGAGGAGTGATCGTTACGATGACATGAGGTCTTCGGAGAGGAGTGATCGTTACCATGATAGGAGCTCTTCGGAGAGGAGTGATCGTTACCAGGATAGGAGCTCGTCAAAGAGGAGTGATCACTCTTCGGAAAGGAGTGATCGATATCATGACAGGAAGTCTTCAAAGAGGAGTGATCGCTCTTCGGAAAGGAGCTCTTTAGAGAGGAGTGATAGTTACCATGACAGAGGCTCTTTGGAGGGGGCTGATTGTTACCGTGACAGTAGCTCTTCTGAGAGGAGGGATCGTTACCGTGACAGGAGTTCTTCAGAGAGGAGTGGTCGTTACAAGAGTTCAACAGAAACAGATAAACATTCACGAAAAAGAAAAGAAAAAAGTGAACGCTCTCCTAGGCGAGAAAAATATAGTCGATATTCCCCTCATGAGGAAGACTAGGTCTACAACTCATTATCACTCTTCTATTGTTTTTTTTTTTTATTATAGATTTTACGGATGAATATGATGCTGGTGCATGCATAGGTTCAATGTATGTTCATGAATTTGTTGTAAATCACTTCTAACCAGCACAACTCTTCTTGTCATAGAAAGAAAAGAAGTATTCTGAATTGTGGAAATTTGTTTTATAGGTGATATGATTTTAATAAGGATAACAACTTTTATGATGACAATTAATATTTATTGATGACAATTAATGTCTTTTTGACAAGTTAAACATACGCGGTTAAAGATCAAACCAAAGAGTTAGGGTTTGTTGGACTTGACTATCAAATGATGGCAACCAAATGAAATTTAATTCAAATTTCATCTCAAGTAAACTCAAGCAAGTGTCTACAAAAAAAAAAATCTGACAAGGTCTTGAAGTACAAGATAATTCTATCTTGATTAATGAGTAAATACTTTGTAAAACATAATGACGTTTCTTGTAAAAATGCATGGTTAAATCGCACACACACGAAAACATATTTTAAACTGTTTATTTTCAAGAAAACATTTTCAAAAATGTCTTGAAGTCGTGTCAGACGAGTATGAAGTTGTCTGAAAAGCTTTGGGGATTTTTTTGTCTTTTTAAATATATTGACACCTTATCCCAATAGATTGAGAGTTCAAAAATGTTCTCTAAACGATTAGGACATTAATGATAGGTAACAGATAAATATTTTTTCTTTCTATTTTAACTTGGTTAGAATGGAGGCAACCAATTGATTGAGACACATTGCCAATCAATTTATAAGTCATAAAATGTCTTTAAAGTTATGTCTTTTTACATGTAACCTCTAAGCCATAAATAGAGGTCCCTTCCGTCATTCTAAATCATCCAAAACCATGTTTCATACCTCTAACTCTCTCTAAACTTTTATTTTACTTTCTCACACTAAAAATTTAGCTGAACTGATTTTTCAAGAAAGTTTGTTTATGAGTGAGGATTGTGTAATTTTGGAAGGGTAGATTTGTAAGCTCACCAAGGAATTTTTATTTATACCTTGGTTGAATATTTTATCTTATTAGATAATATTTGTTTGAGTTAGAAGCTAAATCTGTAAAAAAATTTAGTTTGTAGATTATGTGATCAAACTTTTATTTAGGTTTAAAGGCTCAACATGTGATAAATCTTTCGTAGGTTCTTGGTTAGCATGTGGTAAAATGAAGATAAAGTTAAAGTTTAACTCAATATTAAAAGCTTGTTTACTTTCGAGATTAATCCGATATTAAAATCTCACATGTTATTGGTTAGTCCGATATAAAACTAAAGTTTAAGGTTCGTGAGCTTAGTCTAATGTTAAAAACTCTCAGGATTTGTTTAAAAGCTTGAAACTAACTGCTCCAAGAAAGGAAATCAACCACTCAGGTATGTCATTTAGAAGAAAGACTCGCCGCTTCACTCCACATTTTATTTTTTGGTTGGAAGTCAACCTTAAACTTCATTTTACTTTGTATAAGAGGGTGAGTAATTTGACGAGAAACTTGATTATCCCTTTTAAAAAATACTTGATGTTTTACATACTAGACATAATGTCTTTTCAAAAATACATCATACATTACATGAAAAATAATTAAAGATTCTTTTGAACCTTTGATTAAATTGAGCTTAACCTCTTCAAGTAAACTAAAGGTCCCTTTGTTGATGACTTCTTCGGCAAGAAAAAAAGAAAGACCGATAGATGATCACTTTGTCTAACATCTCCCTGACAAGGAAAGAAATCAACTAACTTTCCATTAACCAAGATATAAAGCCTAACAACATGAAGAATGGTTCACATCAATGAAATTTCTACCACATCAGTTATCATAACTGCAACATTGACTATAGAAAAATAATATGAATTGTTCACATTTAGGAATGGATTTTAATCTACCATATGACTTTTCAGATATTTAATTAACAGTAATTTTGATTCAACCGCAAATGTGACTAACCTTTTTTACAATTATTTTTAAAATGTAGTTTTTCTATTTGTTATTTCAAGAGTACATTCAAGAGAGTTGTTAAATATAATTCATTGTATAAATAGATTTGATTTGATATGATTAGATTTGTTTTTAATATTTTGAGTCTTTTATATTTTGGGCTAGTGTAAACCTAAAACTATAAATAGGATGTCTTGCTTTGTATTCTACATCACAACAGAACAGATTTCACAGTTGCAGTTAGCAAGTGAAAGTTCAATAAGAAATCCCACAGTTGTGGGTAACACATTCTCTCCAAATACTTCTTCTCTCATTCTTCTCTTTCTTGTTTGTTATTCTTCTTCTCTTTTGTTGTTCTTGATAATTACTTGTTATTACCATCATTATCATATTGTGGGTTTGTTCATCAATCTTGAGATCAAGATTGAAGGGAATTTTTCATAGGGTGTGAGGTGAGTTTCCAACATCTGGTATCTAGAGCTCCGGTTGAGAGATTCAAGGAAGGAAGATAGTGATGTCGATGAATTATCCGAACGGCAACTTTCCGGCGACCCTGCCAATTCTCAAGAAAGACAATTATGAGAATTGGTGCAAGCAGATTAAGGTGATCTTCTGTTATCAAGATCTTTGGGATCTTGTGAAAGATGGAGTAACATCGCTTGGGGAGAATGCAACGGAGGCGGAAAAGGCTGCGCACAAAGAATTGAAGAAGAAGGATTATAAAACACTCTTTATAATTCATCAGTGTGTCGATCCTAATAACTTTGAAAAGGTTAGTGATGTTGATTCAGCAAAAGAAGCATGGGAGATTCTTGAAAATTCGTTTGGAGGCGCAGAGAAGGTGAAAGAGGTGAGGTTACAAACTCACAAGAGAACCTATGAGTTGCTTCAGATGGAAGACAACGAAAGCATTACAGATTTCTTCACCAGAGTTACGAAGTTGGTGAATCAAATCAAAGTATGTGGAGAAGCGCTAACGACGAAAGCAGTTGTCTCAAAAATCTTGAGATCGTTGGCTCCAAAATTCGACCACGTGGTAGTTGCCATAGAAGAGTCTAAAGATCTATCAGTGTTGACGAAGGAAGAGCTTCAAGGGACTCTTGAGTCTCATGAACAGAGGATGGCTGAGAGAGCTGCAGGAAATTCGAAAAATATGGCTTTACAGGCGCAGTCAGAAAAGGAAAGAAAAGGCAAAGGTAGCTGGAATGGCAACAAAGGAGGAAACCAATCGAATCAGAAGAAACCTTGGAACCAAGGCAACAAAAGAGGTGGTGCTGCAGGTAAAGGAAGAGGTGGTGATCGAAAGCCAGACAAAAGCCACATTTAGTGTTTCAATTGCCAGAAGTATGGTCATTATGCTAGTGATTGTCCAGAAAGGAAGAGAAATCAAGAGACTGATGCAAAGCTGGCGAAACATGAAGAAGAAGAAACGTTGCTAATGGTCACAACAAAAGATGAAGAAAGATTCCAAGATCAGTGGTACTTGGACTCAGGATGCTCATCACACATGACTGGAAGGAAAGATTGGTTTGTCAACATGAAGCCCTCGTCGAAGAACACCGTGAAGTTTGCAAATGACAACACTCTAGCAGCTGAAGGTGTTGGTGATGTTCTGATTATGAGGAAAGATGGCAAAAGGTCAACAATTTCCAATGTGTTGTACATACCAGGCATGAAGAGTAATTTGCTCAGCATAGGGCAGCTTGTCGAAAAGAACTACAAGGTAGTTGTCGAAGACAAGATGATGAGAGTTCTCGACGCAGGTGGTAGATTAATCTTGAAGGCTCCAATGTCTCAGAATAGGACCTTCAAGATTGGACTCAATGTGATGGAGCACAGATGTCTAGCAACTGCAGCCAGCAGAGATGAATGGTTATGGCATTTTAGACTAGGTCATCTCAACTTTAAAGACATCAGAGAACTGAAGAGAAGAAATATGGTTTCAGGATTACCAGAAATCGACATTCCAAGTGAAGTCTGTGAAGAGTGTGTTCAGTCGAAACAACACAAGAATAGCTTCAGCAAGGATGCAGGAAGGAAGTCGAAGGCAATACTTGAAGTCATATACTCTGATGTATGTGGTCCAATCCAGGTGGATTCTATTGGTGGCAATAGATACTTTATCACGTTTATAGATGATTACAGTCGAAAGCTGTGGACTTACCTCATCAAGAAGAAAAGTGATGTGATTGAGGTATTTTCCATATTCAAGTCCATGGTCGAAAGACAGAGTGGTCAAAAGCTGAAAATTCTGAGGACTGATGGTGGTGGAGAGTATGTGTCGAAAGAGTTCGATACACTATGTGTAAAAGAAGGGATTGTGCATGAGGTGGTGCCACCTTACACTCCACAGCAAAATGGGATTGCAGAATGCAAGAACAGAACCATCATGAATATGGTGAGAAGTATGTTGAATGGAAAGCATCTACCTAAAGAATTATGGGGAGAAGCAGTTTCGACAGCAACATATATATTGAACAGATGTCCGACGAAGAAGCTTGAAGGAATCACACCAGAAGAATGTTGGTCTGGTGTCAAGCCTAGTCTCAGTCACTTAAAGGTGTTTGGATCTATAGCACATAGACATGTGCCAGATCAGTTGAGAAGGAAGCTTGATGATAAGTCGAATCAGATGATCTTGATAGGATATCATTCGACAGGAGGTTACAAGTTGTTCGACCCGGTGAATAAGCAGGTAGTGATCAGCAGGGACGTGATCATAGATGAGCTTAAAGAATGGGATTGGACTGAGAATGCCAAGAAGGATTCAGTGAGAATCTCTTGTGAAGAACCAGCCACTGAAGTCGAAATAGAAGTTCGACAGGAACCAGTTGCAGATGAAGCAGGTTCAAGCAGACCTCGACGAACAAGACATATGCGTGCAAGGTTGCAAGAATGTGTAATTACATCAGATGATGTAGTCGATGAAGAGGGTGAGTTGGTACATTATGCTTTCTACGCAGATGTCAAACCAGTCAATGCAGCTGAGGCATTGAAAGATTCGAAGTGGATGAAAGCAATGATTGAAG